ACATAAAAGTCCATAATATTATTTTCAATTAATAGTTTTGTACAATTTATATTGAATCCGAATATTTTCTCAACATGAAATATATCGAAGATTCTTCATTTTTCTGTACATAATGATTTAATTTTTGTAAACTGATATACAGCTTATTTATAATAGTATATCTGAAAATATGAGTTCCATTAATTTTTTAAGGTTCTGGATTTGTTATGAAACTATAAAAACTTATAGTATGTACTTCAATTTCAATGAATATTTTATCCTACTTTATATTGTAATTTTTATATAACTATACATTTTATTTGACAGTTGTTTAACTGTTTATAGTAAAACATATGATATAAATATTATATGAACACAAAATAATCAATGAGAAATTCAGTAGAATTCGTTAAAGATGTAATTTTTCATTTACATTTGTTGTGTACTGCTATGTTATAATTTATGTTATACACTGTCCATATTTAACGGATGGTTTGGTAAACCATGCTACAGTTAATTTCATTCATTTAGTTGAGAAAATATACTATAATAAAGCATTTTTGAGAATCAACAGGATCCATTATGCCAGCCCCCAGTGCCAAAATTAACAACTTCATGAAATGTTCGAAAAATAATTTAAACACTCTTTCCACCAGGATTGTAATACTCTTATCAATAGACATTTCAGAAGATTATCTTTAAATATTTAAAAAAAATATTTTTTTTTTTTTTTTAATCAAAACTATTAAAAAGTAGATATATGAAGATTTTGTAAATCATTAATTGGTTTTTAATAATGTTACGATTTCTTGAACAAGTGTTTGAGTATTATTAGTTGGTTAAATTTATTTATTTAGACAAACAGTTTTTAATTCAATATGATATTTAGGAACGGGAAATATGATAAATTGCACTGTACAGGACACGATTAAAATGTAACATAATTTTATTGGCGATTTAAATGTGTAGTACCAGCAACTCGTGAATTCAGTGAATTAATAAAGTATGATTTCAGTAATTCAGAACACCAGTAAACTTCTTGGTCTATTTATTTTTTCAGTTACTTAACACTCAACGCTAACTCACTGATTCACTGCGCGTTTTGTTAGTGTTTGAGTTTCACATGATCAGAATTTTCGTTAATACGAAAATATAGGTTTTACCTCTCCCACTCCGCAGAATTTTGAGCTCTGCACACGTTTGTAATTCCATTGGATTAAACATGGGTCACTGATTAAAACCCGAATATATACAGAAACAAAATAACTCATCAATACACCTGCGTATACAATATAATACAATATTATATATATATGTGCAAACAATGTAACAATAAACATTGAAATATTTTCATTTAATTCCGTTTATATAATGACATTCAATGTAATATGTATCAAATTAAGATTTTATTTTCAAAAATTAATGAATTAAGCATATATATTAAGTCTTTAAATTGATTTGATCAATAATTATTTATTGTTTAAAACAAAGAATTCAAGTGACTATACACTAAGATTCGTATTATAAAGATACATTTGCGTATTTTCTATTTAACATAGTAAAAAATATATATTTTTATTCTTATTTTTTTAATTAGAAAATTTGCATACAGCATTATTTGATTATATAAATATATAATAATATAATGAATATAATTTTTTTTAAAATTAAAAATCATGAATTTAAACGGGTTTCAAAAATATTTGCAATACAATGGAAAACAAAATTACTGAAAAAGAAATTAATTTTAAACATTAATTGGTTGTTTCAATAAATATTTTGTTTAAATAATTGTATGTCAAATTCACTAATATCATTGAATTTGAATATAATTAACTAGTTTTAATTTTATTAGATTCTGAACGGAACGAGAAATCTAAAGGTTTTACAATGATGTTTATTTCTTTTTATTTTTTATTCTGTAAACACTTTTTATTCCTCTAAACTTGCTCAAAAGTATCAAGTGTAGCAACTTTTATGAAAGATAATGTTCTAGAGCTTCTAGTACTTTAGAGGGGTCATTTTTCGATTTTCGAAACGGTACTCGAAATAAAAGCGGTTAAAGGAGAAAAAACGTACGATTTCACGATTTTATATTATTAAATAATTATGGACGACGTTTTTTATCAGAAATATTGCTTCAATAAAAAATGGTAAAAATCTTTTTTGTTGTACTTTAGATTTTGTTTCTTACGGATTAATGTTTGGAAAATTTTAGCAATTTTTGAGCTATTTATAGACATTTTAATTTTGGGAGTTTTTTTTGTTGTAATTCGGTTAAAAACATACGTAACAATTTGAAATTTGGGTTGTTGACTTGTATTATCTTTACCTAGACACGGTAAAAACATTTGAGCGACTTCTGAGCTTTTAATTTTATTTTATATTTTTTTTTCATTTTTATGACATTTCCTAATTATAAATTATAATTATAATTATATAAATTACCTATTTATATAAATCTTTCTTAAACTGTTCTTAAAATGCTTTGTTTATCACCATAGAAATGAATAAAATTAAATAAAAAAATTTCCTCGTCCGCTCAGAATCATTTTCTATCGAATGCAATCATTACATTCAAATCAAATACAGTAAAATTACACTATCCTGTCTGATTTTTTTTTATTTATTCATTTTACCGGTATGAAAGTCAAAATATTTAATGAACTAAACGTTTACATCAAGTTATATAAAACAATATAAAATAATAAAAATGAATAATTTTTGTTATAAAAAAATATTAATTTATTATTAAATATATTTTAGAAATTTAATTAAATTATAACGGTTATGATAGACTTGAATAAAAATTAATAGTTTTAAAAAACAGTGTTTGGTACTTGTACTGTATGCTGATTACAGCTACTTCATCGGTGTAGCATGCTACCTACCAAAAGACTTTACGATTAAACTTTATCGTATTTTATTAATTAAAATTGATCAAACTAAAACTTAATTTATTGTTTATGAGGAATGATTATCGTTGTCAAATATTTTATAAATGTATTATAACTCATTACATATTATTTTCACATAATTCCAGAAAACTTCTGTCACGTTGAGTCAGGGGTGAATCTAGAGTCCGGGAACTGTGGGTCAAGCCATTTCAAGAGGTCATTGAAACTGGATGAAACTGAATTAGAAATTAATACCTTGTAAAAAAAAAAACACAATATGCTCATAAAAGTGTAGAAATATATTTATATTACATTTTAGAGTTAGTGATACCACCGTTAATGACTTATTTACGATTAATAAGTATAATCTAATTTTATCAGCGCAACAAACGTACGGAATAAAATATGATTTACTTAACTTTCTACTAATACGATATAATTAAAAATATAAATTATGAATTGAAAAATTTTAAATTTTGAATATACATGGCATTCATTTTTCAATTAACTCCGATGAGCCAACTGTCCAAGAGTCCAAATCAAGGTTTAAAAATAGAAAGCATTTCCAAGAGGCCAATTTTTTCAACAAATATTAACTGTGGGCCAGCTGACACTTTGAACCCCCCCCAGATCCGCCCTTGCGTTGAGTAATAATGGACCCCAACATTCTTTTAATTGCCGGTCTAACAAATCTGTCGCTCCTCAAGTTTTAATTCCGTATTTAGTTTCGATGTGTCTCCATATACATATACTCGATCGTTTGTGTTTGTGCACTCCGTTGTAGGGTCGAAAAAAAAATTCGGAATTATTGATGATTATTGATGGTTTCATGATGATAACTTATAATTTTATATATTATTTGTTGTTTATCTTTATAACATAAATGTACTTTCTCCAATAAAATTAAATTAAATAAAAATAGTAAATAAGGATAATATTTGAAGTATATGAAATAAAAAAATAATAATTTTAATAACATTTTAAATGTAAAAACCGATTTTAAAAATAATATATTATATTAATACATTGTAGATAATAATAAATATTAATAACCATAGTATTTTTATTTTTAACATATTTATCACTAATAAACACTCATTTTAAATAATCTTTTTTACTAAAATAAATTATTCTTTTGTAAACGACCAATAATTCTTGTTGTATTAATTTATTTCTATATAAAAACTGTTTGTTAATTCAATATTAATTTACAAGCTATAACTATTTACAATTTTTAGATTTTTATTTTATTTTATTTTTTCTTATTTTATTAAATAAAAATAACTACTGTAGGTATTAACATACAAACCGCACATAGTTTTTTGGTTGGTAGCATTTTAGAACAGGTAGCATATTATCCGAGTGCCCGGTATTTAATCAATACATAATTTGTAATAAATCCGCTGTTGATTTTTAAGATTTATAAATTTTTTAATTATTAATTCAACCCAATCAATGCAACGGGCCAACATTTAATTTTTAGAAAAAGTATCATCACACGGACAATTTACGATAGTCTCAGAATCATATAGATAATAAACCGTAGTCAATTGGTAAACACTATTTCCGTTCACCGCTTGACCAAATTTATATTTTAAATCCTCCCAGGTGACTGACACCAAGGATTTATTTTTGTTTATTTATTATTTTTTTTTTTTTTTAAAGACGTTATACTGTATAGCCGCTTGCCATTCAATAACATTAATATAGGTTGGGTTACGTGCACCGCGGTTTCTCAACGTTATACGTACTGTGCTATTTGCACTCTTTGTCGCCTTCGGGTCCATTTTGATTGGCCTTTTGCGCTCTTGTTTGTATTATCCTGTTATTTAACTTCTTCCCATTTCATTACTCCGAACCGTATAATATCACTTCTTACTCTTTGTTTACGGGGTTTGGGTCATTGGGGTCCTTCGCCACCGCCGTCCGATCATTCGTGACTCTCTGTGAGCATCCAAACGTCGCCATGGGTTGAAAATATTGCATGAATTATTGATGTTACATCCTCTAACCGCTCACCCTTAATGTTACATCTCACCCCCACTTCCTCCCTCCAGTCTGTACCTATATAAATAACATAATGTTCCTCAGATACTGACGTGGGTAATTCATGTGATTCTTCAGGACAAAGCAGCCAGTTGGGATATTAATGACGACGACGACGACCCGAGTCCAAGAGACGACGGGGACAACAAGCATGGGACGAGGTGCGCAGGAGAAGTGGCCGCCGTAGCGTTTAACAAATTTTGCGGCGTGGGAATCGCGTACAACGCAAAGATTGGAGGTTCGTATACGCCGCTCTTCGTTACATTTTACCACATCAAATACGTACAGGAACCTGCGGTATAATTATTTAAATGTATGCACGTGTCATTAGAAGTACCGAACTTAAGGGTCTCGGAGCCTTAAGTCAGCTACTAAAGAAGAGGCCTATTAAAAATAAATTATCGAAAACTGCTTTTAATTTTTATATATTCAACATATTAAACAAGAAATTATTATGGATATACCATTATCGTAATTAAAAAATAAATACGCATATACTCGTATGTATTCAATATAAAAGAACAGATTTATAAAAAAAAAAAAAAAAATTAAATAAAATTGAAAAGTTTTAACGATACTGTTTTCTTTAACATAGTTTATAAAAGATAATATTAAACTGTTACAAAACGATTTTTTTTTTTTTCGCGAAAGCGTATGACTTCACTGTAGTCCACTGATTGCCATATTTCTGGATCAATTTACAACGCAGTAAGTGAATTGAGTCTGTAATCTTTTGTATTGGATCGTAAATAATTTTAAATTTGCTTAGCTTAATCATCAATAATGTTCATAAATATAATTGGACGGGAAAAAAAAATATCACCGATAAATCCCACGAAATATATAAAAAATAGTTTCGATAATCACTTTATTCGTTCATAACAATATAGTGTAACATAATATTGATTTCCAAGATACTAATTATCTAATTATAATAATCTCTTAAGTTTATTTTTATCAAAGTCTCAAAAAAATAAACAAATAAATAATGTTCCATACATCATACACAAAATATTGCTCAAAGCTGATCAATTTCGTGTGACATTTTTATTTTTTTTTTTTGATATTTGGCTGGGGGCCCGGGCCTGAAAATTTAAGGGCTCTTAGGTAGTTGCCTAGTTTGCCTATGAGGATGTTAAGCATTGATCATTAATTAAATATGATAAAAATATTACACTCGGTTATGAATAAAGCGGCTAGTTGGTATTGACTCATAAATAATTTATAGTATTTAGTTTCAGGAAAAAATAAATGTCAATTTTCATATTATGTCTTTTGATATTTTTACAAGATAAACACTCATATACAATAGGATTTTGGTCAAAGTTCTTTAAAAGATTAGTTTGAGTTGCATTTAAAGTCGAGAAAAATATAACACCTGGATTACTATGCGATTTATTAACGACAATGATCTTATTTAAAATAAAGATTTTAAAATATACTGAGGTCACTCATAAGTTTGAACCTAATCGATCATGTATAATTATTATTTTATACTTATAAATTTGACACAGTTAAATGTTTTTATAATATACCATGTCATTAACTTTTTTAATTATAATATTATTTTGTTATGTAATGTCAAAAATACAACACTTTTAATGTAGGTTTTTTTTTTTTTTTTTTTGAACATTCATTTAAATAATGAATTGCTCTCAAATTTCATTCTATAAATTAGGAATATCCAAACTTTAACACGTTAATAAGCGGACCTATAAAGGATGGAAAAAAATTAAAAAAAAAAAAAAAAAAATTATTAAATCCAAAAACATTGTAATGCACTCATGTCAATTTATATTTGTAACAATCAAATAACGTTCGTTCAGTTACCTATAATTACGCTTGCGGTATAATTATTGAAATGATTATTCATTGACTACTAATTTGACATGTGAGGCAAGAAACAGAAAAGATTAATATATTTAGAGTTTTATATTTTTTTTTTACCAAATAAATATTTATGTAGCAAACAAGTACAACATTAAAAAGCATAACAAATAAATATAAAATTATCCGAAAACTTTTTCCAAATTTACTGGAAAATGGTGAATTATGGTAAATAAAAAATGGTAAATACTGAACATTTCAGAGATTTTAAAATCATTTTTATTTGAAAAACTAAATAATGCCTTAAGGCAGCAACTTATTTTTAAGGTTAGTTTTTGTATTTAATATTTATTGATAAAAAGAGGAAAATTGCTTCATAATGTTAGATTAATGAAAGAGTGTATAATTCAAGCAGTCACAGAGAATTGCCTAGAATAAATTTATACTTTTAAAAATATTAGCCAATTAATTTTTGCTTTCAATTAATTATTAACAGTTAAACATAAATTTTATGATTTTCATTTATAAAGATTTACAATTTATAAACTATTATTAAAATGGATACTGTATTTAAATTTACAATGAAAATTATCTTACGAAATATTTATAAGTATATTAATTTTATTGAAATCATAAGTGTTATGTACTTACACACTTTAACCTTGCAAGAGCCTTTGGTATTTTATTTGGTTCTCGAATAAAAAAGTTTAAAATCACTACTGTAAATCATAAGATTATTGCAAGGTAATCAGATACTTTCTTTGTGAGCTTTTCGTTTGCTAATTTATGTTTATACATAAATGAAAATCTGAAATATTATTTTATAGAGCATTTATATATATATATATATATATATATATATATATATATATATATATTACAAAACCAGTAAATTTATGATCTATTACTATAATTAATTAAGCTGGTAGATGAATATTTTTAATTTGCAATTTACGTATTTTATATTTTTATTAAATATTGGAAAATCTAGTTATTTATATTTATCTAAATGCATTAAGATTTGAAAAATAACAAAGCCAATTTTTTTCAAAAAATGTTCAAATTTACATAAACATCAATAGCATTCTCAGTTTTTAATAATATCTATTCTTAAAATTGCATAGTGACATAAGAATAATTTTTTAATACAATATAATATATTAATGGTATAATATACACATCCCATACAGCATTTGTTAATTATAACGATTACAATAATATTTATATGTGATTGGAATTTAAATATTTAAAATAAACACTTTGTACAATATTGAATATATATTTAATTTTTCGAACCTGAAACGTATAATAAGAATTTATTAATATTCGAAAACGAATAATTAAAAATTAATGAAAATCTAAACTTTTATAAATGTCTAATACAATGTTCAAAAATGTTTAACCAATGTATATTAAACATTTTTCAAATATTTTAATTTGTTTAAATATTAATTAAACATTGTATAAATATATTTATTCTGCGTGGAACGTTACAAACAATAAAACGAATAAATTTCGAAATAACTCAACCAGTATTTTATCATTATTTTCTTTTATTTTCATTTGATAAATCTTTTACTTTATATACGAGTAAACACATTAAATACCTACTATGTTTGATATACATATATTATGGTTCATTTAATCATAATAAAACGCAATATTGAATTATGAGCGACACATTTCATTAAATATTTGGAACAAATGTTTTTAGTACAATTTTAAACTTCTTTCTACATTATAAAATTTAAGTACTAGTTCCTTGAAATACTGTTTGACGGTATTGATAAATTTAATTTTAATTTTTAGGGGTCAAAGTAATAAAAAAACATATGCACAAATGTAACACTATAATAATTATAGTGTTGTATAATATCACTTGTCTGATATTTTTTCATTTTGGTCAATTTATATTGGATTACTTATTTCATTAGTATATAGGTTTATTAGATATTTTATTAAAAATAAATTAATGGCTCTTGAAAAAAACTGTATAAAATGTAGTTTTATGAAAGAATTCGAAAGATTAATGATAAGAAATCAAACTTTACAGGTTTATTAGACCAAAATAAAAATATTTTTTAACAGATAACATTATTTTCTTCGCATAGATGGTGTTACATACATTCATAATATTTCGTATTTTTGTGAGTTTATTACTTTATTATTATACGATTTTTATTAGAACATTTTAATACTTAAATTAATGACGTTTTATTAACCAAAATTAAATTATATTTCATGCATTAACTGTCAATAATTTTAAAATTAAACTAAAATAATGGTACATTTCTTTAAGGGGGATGCAGTCGATATAAATAATAATATAAAACATGCCATGAGCTGAACAAAACCATGAGACTTAGCTTTGAACGATTTTAATCTTATGAATAAACTTAAAACATTGAATAACTTTACTATAGCATGGTCATCAAAAAAATGTTCATCATTACAAAAACTGAAAACATAAAATACAATTGCTTTTTTCTAAATTGAAAATATTTTATTGATTGATTGATTAAAATATAGAAAATTTCTTTAGTCATTTCCCAGCTAAATAAAATCTGTTTTAAAAATTCAAATTTGTCAATCTCAAGTCTAACAATTTTGTTTACATTATGGTCATTTTTAACATTTTATAAACATATTGTAAACTCAATCAAATAATTTTTTTGAGATACAACTGTGCGTGTCTTAGTTTATTAGTCGTTTAAATAAGCTATTAGACCATTTGGGTACACAATTTAATAATATAATTGCTAAACGAATAAAATATTTTAACGAAGTTTAAAAACAACATTGTTCATATTATAATGAAAACATAGGCTTGCGCATAAAGGCAGCAGGGTGTGCTCTTGCCGCCCATAGACGATTTAAATAGATTTGTTAGGACCAAATAGTCAAAGCTGGCCACCATACACCATATAACGCTCAATGAAAAATAAGTTGGTTATCCGAAATGTGTATTTAATTACCCAGCTAATTTTTACTGTGTATAAATAAGTAATAGTTTACAAAAAAACACATTCACAATATACTTTTACAGTACCAGTTATGGATGGCCATATGTGTGAAAAAAAAACGGACCAGTAAAAATATTCAATGTCTCAGACTTGAAAATCCGCACTCACCTATGAATGATATGATATTTCTCTTATATTCCATAAATTAATATCGGTTATGGTGCTGAATTGGATTATTATAATTTATTATAATTTGGATTATATTAACCACAGTATTATTGGAAATACTAAACTAGTGTATTGTGTAACTAAAACTAAACATTTTAATATTTGTAAAATATTTTTTAAGTAGATACACATATAATTTTTAAGTAATTGCAAATTATAACATATATTAAACACATTTCTGTACAGAGATCGGTGTCGGTGTAATTGTTTTTTTTGTTATCCCGCTTGTAAAGATATCTGACTGCTGTCGATATTTCTACTGTGACTGTATAATATTTAATCACATTAAATGTTCAATTACTTTATATCAGAGATTGGAACCTTTACGATTTTAGTTTCAGTTTCGGTCAAAAAAAAAAATATATGATTTTGTCATCGGTTTCGGTTAAAATCGGTTTTAACCCGAACCATTGGTATTAAGTTATTTTTTTTTTTTTTTAATAGAGCAAGGAATTTTTTTACTTCTATTATAAAGATCATATTAAATTATATCATAACCATCTTAAAAATAAAATTTCTAAATATTATTGATTCATAGGTGGGTAATTTAAGTATGGTAATATATCAGGATAATTATAAATTCATAATCATAAAATCTAAACAATAAAGAGTACAATTTATTTGTTATTCGTATAAGCAGATATAGATAAAAATAGCAAGGATGGATTGTTAAATTTCATATTAAAACATATTATACCTACTTTTGGAAAAATATAACGTTTAGAAATTCATTAGAATACTGCGGTTGTTGAAATCTCGTCAAAATTTGAATATTAGATTATAAATAATGTAACTGATTAAAAATTTAAAAATTTGAAAACTCTATAATACTGTATACAGAAATACATCATTTTATTCGAAAAAGTAATTTTTTTTTTTACTAATTTGTCATTAGTGATTACTTAACTTTAAACTAAATGTCGGTTTTTGTTTCGGTTGCTCCATAAACTCTTTTACGGATTCTGGTTAAGATTTCATTCCAATACTTTTAAATGGTTTCATTTTAAACCGGTATTTTTCGATTGGGTTCCCATTCTTGTATATATTGTATATAAAATTTGTTGATTAATATACTCTAAACCATGTACTAGTGTACATTGATAATAGGTGTTTTCAGATGGACACACACAGTGCAAAAATAAAAAAAAATACTAAAAAAAAAATTACAATTATACATGTAGTGAATATTAAATATTTAAAAAATGTAATAGTTATTTTAAGAATATAATGTCTTTATAATAATTTTCAACGGACAACTAAGATTCATAAAAACGGATCATATTTCTAACACTAAAATTATAAATTATTTAGTTTGAAAATTGTAATAATATGGTATAAAATATGTTTACTGATTAATAAAATATGAAAAAGAATAGAAAATAAAATATGTGTTCACAATTATTGTGATCAAAAAATATGACTATTATAATAGTTTTCTTAAAAATATCATTAATATTTACATACCACTTTTAAATTATTTTTTTCTTTTCCTAGTATTCGACCATTGATATCCTACATTCAAACATATTTCATTCCATTTTTCTCTATTCATCACCAAAACACACCAGTCGACATTTGGAACCACCATTTTTACATCTTTCCTGATTTCGTAATCCCATATTTTTAAATTAATATCGACTGTGAATTCTCTTGAAGTAAAAGATTTGACATTTTCCTAACATGGGACGTGTGCTTCTTGGAAAAATACTTCATCCAACACACTATGTTATTTAAATCATGAACATTAGTGCGCTTGTTAACAATGAAACTATATTTGGTCTGTAAATAAATACATTTATACGTATATATCGGTCCTAATGGTCTATTGATCATAGCCTTTATTCTTGTTTAATAATCGTGTGAAATGGTCATTTCCTTTTTTCAATTTATTTTTTAGACTGTGTACAAGGAATTATTGATTTTGACGCTTTGTTGATTTTCCTAAAAGTTACTCACTTGAAATGTATAGAAAAAAGAGAATATCCAGAATATAAAGAAAACAAAACACCAGATAGGTATTCTTAATGGCATAAAAAATAACAGTATGAAAAATGAAGTGCAAAATACTTTATGAAAAAAACGTTCAACAAACAAACAGGATGAATGTGTGCTTTAATATCTAAAAACTCAACAAAAAAAAACGCGGTTTTAAAAAAATTCATTGATTTTCAAGTGTTGAACATAAACACCCATTATGTAAAATTAATTTATAGGTTTTAAATAATGTGCTATACAAACAGTATTTTCATAAGAAAATGTTTACTATTGTGTCAAATACGATTATGCTTTGGATATTTTTTTGTGTTCAACGGAATATATAAAAATACAAAGAAAATAATAACATTGATTATTAAACCACGGTGTAAGAAAATATGACATATAAATAGAAATAAAAAAAAAAAAATACAATTTTTTTTAAGTCTTATACAGTATGACTTATAAAATATAATTCATTTTTATATTTCAAAATGTATAACGTAAATTTATCCATAAAATAAAGAACTTTTTCTTATTATACACTTACTAATTATCACTTTACTAAGAATTTAATTTATATTTAAAAATAAAAATCCAAACCCAATTATAAGCCTATTAAATATATATATATATATATATATATATATATATATATAAATTTGTACATTATAATTATTTGTATGCGGTATTTTTCGTAGTTGATGTTATATGTAATTATTTTCTGACACTAAAATAATACTAAGCCGTATCGAAAAGTAACTTCTTCGTTATAAAAACAATGAATATGTTTCTCTGTGTTTTCCAAATAAATGGTAAGGACATTGAAAATATACAGTTGAAAAAAAAAACAGAAAAACTGGGAAAAGTCGTTTTCCGAGTGATTTAAGTTTGGGTTACAGTTTAATATGTTATTCTCTTTTCAGAAGTGATCATCGTCGTTTCAAAATATTTAAAAATATATTATTAGCAATATTTGAAAAAATCTTACATTACAAAAATAAATGAATTAGGATTCGTACAAATATTTTTGTTCGATCTCGCCGAAAGTAGTGTTCAAATGGATATTTTGATTTCATTCAATAAGTGATGTGGAAAATGTAGAATATTAATTTAGGACAAATTGCTTTTAGTTGAACGCCGTTCATTATTCCGAATGATGAACTTTTATTTATTGCGCTATAATATTTTGTCATAAATAATCGACAACGGTGTTGGGTGTGTTTGTCCAAAGGTGTCCGGATGTTGGATGGGGTTGTTAACGATGCGGTGGAAGCAAAAGCATTAAGCCTGAACACGAACTATATAGATATATACAGTGCATCCTGGGGACCAGAGGACGACGGAGAAACGGTTGATGGACCTGGACCGTTGGCAAAAAGAGCATTTGTTAATGGCGTAACATCGGTAAGTGTCATAGTTACTTACTACTACGTGACGAAATCCATTTTAGAAAAGTATAAAAATGTATAATTAGCCATCTTCTTTCCAAGCGAGTGTATCTCGGTACAACATAAATTGAAAATATAACTTTTACATTTAATTTCATACATTTAACTATTATTAGTCCATATATTTATTAATGTGTAAACAATTTGAAGATGTTAAATTTTTAATATTTTTTTCAAATGAAACATTCATAATGACTAATTGATAAAACGTTGTTCAATTAGGTACTTAGGTTTGGACGAAATTATTAAGATATTAAGATTATTATATTGAGATATTTCAAAACAAAATATATTTTCCATAGACTTTGTCATTGAAAAAGTTTGCAGTGTTAAATCACAATTATTACAAGTGATCCGTGAGGTAAATGCTGCTGTAGTAAATTAAAATAATTATCTGTAGTTTGAAATTCACTGGAATTAAAGGTAACATGAACTTTTCATAAACATCACTCAACCAAAACAATATGTACCACTAGGGAATTGTTTTTATTACAAAAATAATACTCTAATTCCCTATGCACATCTCATAAACATTATACGATAAAATAACTTTCTTTAGCGTATTAAATCGCTATATGTTTGCATTAGAAATGTACTATCGTATTGAAAGTTGAGTAAAATATTATTGGTACATCATCGGGTTCTAAGAAATCTTATTTTTTATATGGTGTTTGGATATTTGAAGGAAAAAAAATAGACATCAGTGACATTAATATTTATGCTATTATTTCATGAATTGGGTTGTATGATTTACATTTTTTTGAAATGTTTGGAGTACACAATTTATGGGATACCATTGTGTTTTTTTTTTTTTATTGTAACATAATATAGTTTAATGTTCCAATTGATGATATACTTTCTACTATACATTTTATTATATTCATAATAATAATATTATTTACACAAGATTTGTAATACACCGATTTATACACTGTGTATGGTTAAAAGATGATACAATAATACATTATTCCGATTGTAGATCTTAAAATTTAAATTACCTTAATGCAACAGAGCAACAAAACATTTTTGAACAATACAAGTACTTGTCGCAACATTATAAAATTTAGATAATATATATTTCGAAATATTTGTTAGCACACATAATTTTACGCTTAAACTTTTTAATTATATAATCATAATACTATATTATAGCTATTTAATATCAATAATACTTCTTACATAAAACAATTTATTTATCAAAATTTAAGTACTGAAATTGGAAAAAAAAAATTAATGATAATTACTAAAACACCTTTTTTTTTTATCAATTGGTTAGACATAATATTTTTAAATTTTAAATATAAATGAATATATTAACTAATACGAATGGTACTGGGTAATTGTGTTATATAATAATTGTGTTATGGACATTTATTTTCTTGTTCAATTTTTAAATTTAATTATTCCAAAACGTGTTAAATTGTATATTTCTGGTAAAAAGAATTTATTATATTAACAATAATTTTAGTGTTTTATTTTTAAAAATTCTAGAATTTATTTTCATTGTAATTTTTTTTATCAAAAAATAATTGTAAATTGTTTAAAATCTGTATTCACAACATTTAATAGTAAATTAAAAAACTATATAACACTTAAAACACAATTAAAAAAAAAATAGTTCATTAAGATTACCTTAATAACATTAAAATATTTTAAGGCTTCGTAAATAGTTTCTGTAGTTACTCAATGAGAGAGTTGTGTTTGAATAATGTTTTTTCGTTAATTGTTTTTTTTATTTTTTATTTTTTTATATTTTTTTTATACAAAATGATAAAATTACGTTTACTTTACTATGATATGTAAAAAATATATATACATTTACCTGTCGTATGCACTACAACTCTTGGACAATGTTATTTTTTAGTATGCAATGTTATTTGAGTTATTATGGACGTATGCGTGTCATTTTAAATAAGATATAGTATATAGTTCAGCATTTATGGATGAATGGGGTTGGTTTGGATATTACCCGGGTAAAATACTGTAAGAGAGCAAGATGAAATAAAATGAAACAGAGATATACAAAAGGAGAGAGATTGAGAGAGTAAGAAGGAGAAAAACGAGGTTGAATACGAAAAAACCCTAGATGGAACCTTAGAAAAAGCTGCCATTAAAGGTTTTTAAATAGCCGGCAACAAACATTTATTTGTACTGTTTTTATGACCTTTTATTGGCCGTTCCGTCTGTCAGGTAAAATGTGTGCATTTGTCGACAATTTATACACGCATCCGTTCGTTTTATAACCATTCAAAAAACCGAATAATAGCGTTGCCTATATACATGAATGAATGTTAAGCCTTCGACCTGATTGTTTAGTTTTATCCATTTTGTTTTTTCCCCTTTCCCCAATTTTTTTACGAGGTTATGAGGTTTTTTTTTCACGTATATACCTAATTTTAATGGATAAAATCCATTAGACCAGTCGTGCACACATCTAAATGTATACGTACGTATGGTTAAGAACACCATGCGTTAAGATGAATCTTTCCGGTAGTTCTATTTAATAAAATAAATTAATAAAAGCAGGATTATCTTGTTGATTTTCTTCAAGATGTGTAATCAATGCTGTTTTAAGGCATTTAAGACTTGAAGGACCCAGTTCAGAGTGTTCAGGATTTGATAGTCTACAAATATATAAACATTACAATATGTATATAAAATATCAACATTTTACATTTTTTTTTCTTTGAAATTATGATTATTAAATGGTAATCATAATAATATGTGTTAAAAGAAAAAATATATTTTACTCTAAAAACGGCTCTGTGTGTAATCAAAGAATATTATTTTTTATCAAATATTATTGTTAATTTATTATTTGGGCTTATTATTGTACAATATGATTGACTATCCATGTTGTTTTAAAACGTTAATTTTGACGAAAAACCTAAACAACTAATACAATGCATTCCACGTTAGAATATAGGAATTTTAATTTGATGTCTGTCGTATTTTATCAATTATTATGGAAACAATTATAATTACTTTAGTTTCATTTTCTACTGTTATCATATAAGTTTTCACATCCTAGTCACCATTTTTCAATTATTAATTTACATATTGCTTTCGAGTAAAAAAAAAAAATAAATAGTAGTCATAAATAAACACCCGTTATATTTTTATATTTTTAAAAGAGGTAATTAGCATTTTGGCAAGATTAAATTGCATGAAGAATGGTTTGCCCAAAACTCCGACAGTTTTGATTTATATATAATTTGATTAAAAATCTAAATGAATCACTGTTTAAATTGTTCTAAAAATATTTAATAACATTTATGTATTATTTTTATATTTAGTATTTACGTTAATGTTAAGTGTATTTAATTTAAACTAATTTTTATTTATTTTTTAAAAATAATTAAATTGCCTTATAAAAAAGATGAAATTTTACCAAATAAAATGTATAATCTTAATATTTTCTTGTAGACATGATGATTTTACTACCAAATATGTAATTTTTCGATAAATTTTTTTGATTTTTCAAATATAAATTTCGATTTTAATTATTTTTATTTGAACCGATCTACTAAATACTTCTTTGTGCAATTTTGGTATTAATTATGTATTGAAATACAATCTAAAAATAAAATATGAAATACTTAAAATTTATATTAACAGGCAACAAATATTAATCATACAAAAATTACTAATTTTTCGAAATGAATAAAGTAAATTATCCTATAATATTAAGTAATATTATGTTATCAATAATCCTTTGAATGTAGATACGCCATGTTTTATGGACTGTCATGAGACTTAATCTTAGTAGATAATTTTAATTTAGTTCCTATGTAACTATATATTTTTATGTTCTACAATTTTCTTTATGTTATACCCATTGTATTAATGTTTATTCAGAAGATGTAGTATCTACGCGAATTACATTAGAAATAGTTTGAAAATTAAAGTATGAAATATATAATTATTATTGTATGTAATGAAATAATGATCTCTAAATGGCTGTATTAGACTAGTTTTCTTCAATTACTTAGCTGCTATTTTTTAATTGTTTTTTCATTTTGTGGCACTAACTACTAGACAACTTTTATGTTCTATTGTATTTAAATTAAAGTTAAATTAACTGGGGTTGTATACAAAACTAAGTATTTTTAATTTTTGTAAAAAACCTCAAACAATTTTAAAATTATCTATAGGAAGTATTTTTGCATTTTAATTTCATATTTTATAAAATGAGACATTTGTTTTTAAAATATAGCAAACCATCACAAGGTATTCGTAAATATAGAAAGTATATTTATTCGAATGTAGCGTTTCATAAAAAAATAATTGAATTGTTATAACGATTTCAAACCCACATAAATTATTTCAATACATTTCAAACATTTCTATGGGGATGTTTGTAACACTAGTAAAATAGTTTTTTATTTCATTACAAGTAAAGAATACAAATAGTTTTAACTAAAATAATACGCACGTAGTTGTATAACAGTTCGTATTCGGTCGATATTGACGAAAAAAATTGCAAATTGAATACAAATGTTGACATAGATACAACACAATGTAAATATCATTACAGCTATATGAGAAACTTTGTCAATAAGTCAAATGATTTCGTTACAAAACACGATGATTTCGATAATAATGTTAAATTGTTATGGAATATACGGTAACATTATATATTTATTAGATTATAAAAATGCCTAATAAATAAGTTATCACAACAAATGTTCTTAAGTGATTTTATTTACTATTTAGCTCAACAATTAAATTACATTAATAAATTAACAATACAAAAGCTCAAACAATTAATTGTTAGTCTTCGAAATGTTTGAAATACATACACATAATATGATAATTATTTATACTAGAGTGTTAATGTGGATGCTTTACATGCTTCAAAAATACGATAGTAAATAAATAAATACTAAATAAAGAGGAAGGGAAAAATTATATTATAGGAGATTCAATTATTGAACGGCATGAACAATCATACAATCGTTTATAATAAAACAGTCATACGTAGCACGAAGAACTATTTTTATTTTAAGTCTGACGGGTATAAGATTTCTAAATAATTAAATTTTATGTTTGATTTATAAATACGAATATTTTATTTCGTCCACAAAAAAAATTAAAACATTCCATAGTAAATTTTGATCTGTTTAATTATTTATCAACCAACACAATATAATCCTGTTTAACAAATGACTGTTGTTGTTATATTAGAACCTTACATCAAAATTCAGGCAACAAGTTATTTATAACTATTGCATTAAACGTTATCGTATTAATGATAATCACTAATTACACTTGAAATTTAATTTATTTTTAGATAAATTATAACACTCAAAAAATCATTATAATATAAAATTTTAGTTTATATTCCATGTAGTATCAATTAGAATTTTTTTTTTTATTATAATAATTATTTTTATGATTTATATGAGTTATAAAATTAAAAGATATTATTCGAATAGTATTTACATTAAACTAGTTTTTAACATATTTTAATGAAATACGTATTTATAATATAAATAATCCAACAAATTTTATTGATTAAATATCACATTAAATAAATACATTATTTTTTCTTATAATCAATATATATATAAGAGAACAATAATAATAATTCAATAAAACTGATAATATAACAATAATAGTTATATATTACATTATATAACTTCCGAAAGTCTTAACATATTGAAATTTAATAAATACTCGATTATTCAATGGTAAATATATGATTCTATGAATTATTCTTTTAGAAAAAAATACATACGACATTTTTATCAGAAGAAAGTAATATTTACTCTATATATTTTTATCTGATTTGTATTATTTATCTATAAAATTGAAGGCTTTTATATTGAATTTCTAAAATATCAATGGAAATAACAAATCATTATATATGAATTATTGTACTTTTACCTATTATAGTAAATCTTTGTTGATATCAAACATGAAATAACAAGGTAAATAATTGTTTTTCGACTAAGGAAATATTTTAATATTTCTTTGGGTGTCCAAAAGCTCGTTAAAATTATTGACTACTTAATACAAATCCGATAAATAAATTATTTCGGATTAATTAATATAAATGCATTATTTTCTGACATTTATGTATTTACTGATAATTCTTTCATTCACCAATAGTATTATTTATAATAACCAATTTATGTTCAGATTATGAAAGATGCGAGTGATTTATCGAATTTCTGATATAATTTTTTTCTATCGATATTTTTTGAGCAATAAATTGACTTCGAAATATATAAATAAATAAATATCAATATAAAATAAATTATAATAACAAATTAATATATAAATATACAAAGGTGAAACTAGAAATTTTTTCGCTAGGGAAAATTTTAAAATTAAGTCCTATCATAGAACAAAAATCTTTTACAGAATCTTTTATAGAATAAAAATCTTAATACCTTTTCAAAAAATTTTTCTCCAATAATTAAAATACAATCATATTTATTGAGTTTTAAACATATTATTAATAGTTAAGTTAAAAATATCAAACTAGTCGTCAAAACGCTCTCTAAAATTCTATTCCCAGGATATTATTCTGATACTTAAAATTGTATGACGGTATGTAATACTTTTTAATTATTTCATTAATATTTTTATGACCACTGATAAAATAATGCGTACTTCTATATTTTCACAAACATTTTTTGGTACAATTGCGCTAAACATTATGGTTTAAAACTTTTAATTACATTTTATTACAAAATATGTTTGAATTAAAATATAAAACAATGTGTACTTGACGAGTAGTTATTTTAATCGATTTTGAATCAAATACTGGAAGCGTATCGAAATAAACCGGTTCCAGACGAAAATTCTCTTCAAACCTAAATCGTTTCCAATCAAATCATGAATGTTCACGCAGTCCTTGATTTAAATTGTGTCCGTATCATTCTTGATTTCAATCAGAATTGTTATTCGAATAGAGACTTGTAATCGCTATAATATTTTACGATGTTTTATGTTATCTTTGACAGGGAAGACAAGGCAAAGGTTCCATATTTGTGTGGGCATCTGGTAACGGTGGTCATCATACAGATTCTTGTAACTGCGATGGATATACTAACAGTATATATACGCTGTCCATTTCGAGTGTCACTCAAACGGGGTAAGATACAATCGTTTTCATCATTAAATTGTTCATATAGTTAATATTAAGATAATTATAAATAACGGTTAGTATTTTATATTTTATTTTTATTTTCAATTCGGAATAAAAAGGGTATTGATTTCCACATAATTTAACAGGAGCAAACCTTGGTATTTAGAAGAATGTTCGTCGACATTAGCCGCCACGTACAGCTCCGGAACGCCGGGAAGTGATCACGGAGTGACCACCGTCGATATGGATACGAAAATGAAACCAGAAACGATATGCACATCCGAGCACAGTGGTATCGTACTAAATTTGGAATTTATCCGCACGCATTATAGACAAGACGAAGAAACTTTGTAGTACAACCCTGAACATTTTTTAGGTACATCTGCGTCAGCTCCTATTGCAGCAGGTCTTTGTGCGCTGGCGTTGGAAGCCAACAGTAATTTGACTTGGAGGGATATGCAGTACTTGGTCGTGATGACTTCCAACACAAAACCCCTGCAAAACGAATCCGGTTGGATAACGAACGGAGTTCATCGTAAAGGTTCGATCTCATTCGTTAACGGTTTAATAATAATAATAATAATAATAATAATACAGTTTAGGAAAACGATCGTTACATTTTGATATTTATTTGTAGTGATTTTCAACGTGTATCATAGTACGATCGTAGTATGTTGTATACTTTACAATTTTAATCGTTCTGTTGTTCCGTTTCGCAACCGAAATTTTTCGCGATACACTTCGTCCGTACCGACTCGGAAAAATCTGATCGCAATAAGATAGGATGACCAGACGTCCGGTTTAAAACGGATCCCGAAAAACTTCGAATGAGACGTTTTTTATCCTGTTTTTAGAAAATTGTCCCATTTTAATCCCGTTATTTCTATATTATTTATTATTTAATGTATTGTAATGCTTGTAAATAAAATATCTATAAATATGGAAAAAATATAAAACATTTTTACTCGTATATTTAAAATGTGAAAACAAACTTATAAACAACAGATAATAGAATTATTTAGATTGTTTTACTAAAAAAAGGTAAAGTAAAAAGAAAACAATTGATAAGAGATATTTGGACTTAATTCTCGATATTTGTGTACATATGTGTGAATGTATATGAATGAGGGTTTTTTTTTTTTTTTTGGGGGGGGGAGAAGTAACAGCTGCCCCGTTTTTTTATTTTCTTAATATGGTCACTCTAGGATAAGACGACATAACGATATGATCTGTTCTCACGACGCACCGTTGGCGAATCGAAATAATACTGATACCACGTTGTTCATCCGTATAACTGTTTTTTTTTTGTATCCGCAGTAAGTCATAAGTTCGGTTACGGTCTTATGGACGGAGGTGCACTCGTAACGATGGCCGAACAGTGGACGAACGTTCCTCCACAGAAGATTTGTAGAGCCCGAGAAGACAACAAACAAAGGCACGTTATATTATACAATAATAATAATAATATTAATAATATCACTCACTTATTGTTCGTCCACGTT